AAGTATGTCGGTGGATTGGAGCTGCTGATAGATTGATTGTTCCGTGCCGGCGCACTATGGAATAGACAGGGCATCACTATAGTATCCCAGGTCTGACCCCCCCCCCCCCCCCCCATCAACGACCGCATATGTAAGGGAGATAGGACTGAAAGCATGACCTACTTTCACGGAGTCAAGACAATCATCCCCAGACAATAGCCCCTGCCGGGTCGCTCTTCCACGAGCTCGAATAGCCGCCGGGCAGTGACCTTTCCGTGTTCGACAGTAAGCGATTCGTCTGCTTATTGCGTAGCATACGAGCAGCGGGAAGACGGGATCTAAGATTTGGGCGTATCAGGATCCCTGCTACCGGGTCACTGTTTATACACCCCGCGCGAGTGCTCTTGTTTACTACGGCGTGGAGACAAGATCGGAGCCAACGGAGACACGCAGACAAAGGAGACCGGTATACGGAGTACCATGTATCTACTGTGTGATACGGAGTAGTGCTTGCAGCCTTGTAGACTCCTTCGGACCCATCATCATGGTGATCTCTAATAGATAGTTCGGACTGGAGCTTCTTTGTTTTTGAAATGGCTGCTGACCCGCACCATTAGTAATAAAGCCGTGGAGGGGCCGTGAGTCCGTCAGGCCTCCATGACCAGAGAAAAAGCCCCGAAAAGAGGCGAGCAGGATCCCGAAGCGGATGGGCTGGTCCGCTCTAGGCCTGGCGCTAAAAGCCCGGTACCTTGGGATGAGGTCATTTTCCACGGCGCCGTCAGCGCGCGGTGACCTAGGCGTGAAGTATCCTCCCGGTCGCTCCGGACTTCCGAGAACCAGCGGTGCCAAGAATCGTGGATTTTCTTCATCTTATGACTATTGCAAGGATGGACGGGAAGCAACTATGAAGTAAGCGAGCATTTGTGTAGACTGGAAAAATGATTCCTTGTATGGTGCTGGGATAACGGTGTCGATAGCGGTCACTGCGGCAAACGCATCATGAGTCAGAGGCCTAGAGCTAGTTTGATTATAGGGCGGAATTGTATACGTAGGAATGTTGGGAAGGAAGTCAGATGAGACGAAGGGATTGGCTGACAGGCGAAGGAACCCGATGAAGGTACTGTCTTAGTAAAAGATTTGGAAGGAAATGGAAGAGAGGGAAAAAAAAAAATAAAAAAGATCAAATAAAAGAGAGGAAATAAGGTTCCAGGCTTGGAGGGCGGCGATTAGTCCAATAATGATCTGCTCCATCGCTGGATAAGTGGTACCAGCGTTCCCGACAGACACCTCATGATGACGCTGTTGGGAAGGCCGCGGATACAATATCTCATGGCCATGGGAAGCTGTAAGGCTCCAGCATTCATGCGCAAAGGGTTCCAGTGCCCGTCATCGTTCAAAGCTGTGGAGGAAGCCGCAAGAAGCAGCAAGAAGTCGCAAGAACAAGGCGCAACCCAGCCTGTCGACTGACAAGTCGATAAGTCCTGGGCTTCCCTGCTAGCGCGAGGGTGCGGTAACTCCACTTTCGGCACACGGAGCTTTGGGGAGCTCCAGCACGCGTGTTGTTTCCACGCCCTCTCGGCCTTGTCGCATCCTATCCCCGCCAGCTCCGAAGGAAGGAGAGCAGCGACACACGGCGAAGAAAAATAATCATGAGTAATGATTAAAAAGTCTCGCGCGACCCTCTCGCACCCCGGTCTTCTGCCTTCCATCGTTGTCTTCCCGTGGTTCACCGTTGGCCGGCCGGGTTCCCTTTAATTCTTCTCCCATTCTTATACTTCTGCTCTCCCTTCCACAACCGCCGTCTGCTTCCATACTTCAGCCCTATCGACCTGCCCCGGCGTATTTCTAACTCCTGCCCTCCTCCTCCAGCTGGTAGCCGCGACATCCGCAACCCAGCTCCTAGTCCATAATTCCTACCGTTTTGCGCGCCGCAATTGGAGCTGGAGTTGGCCTCGCCTTAGAGCTCCAGTGCTCTTGATATTCACCTGTCGCAGATTGCAGAAGCATAACCTTGAAACTCCTGCTCGTAAAAAGAGAACCCCCTCCATGTGGCAGCGAGCTTCCCGTGCCGCGCTTGCGGCAGCTTTTTTCCTGGCATCCGTCGCAAATGCTCTTCCCCATGGAGACGACGATGCGATGGACATGGACATGAATATGGACATGAGCCATAGTGATTCTACCCAGGACTCCCACACAGATGAAAATGACGAATCCCTCATGAGTTATTTCGCGTATGGAAAGCACAGCGGCGCAATTATGGCTCATATCGGCCTGATGGTTCTAGCCTGGTGCTTCGTTCTGCCAACAGGTATAGTCTCAGTTTTCCATTCCTAAGTTAAGGATACTGACGTTTTGAAACACCAGCGGTCATGTTCAGTGTTGCGCGATCTCGTTTCGCGCTGCCGTCGCAATTCCTCTTCCTGGTGTTCAACGCGGTGGGATTGCTTGTTGGGATCATCTACAACAGCCAGACCCCCGATTTGTACCCGAACAACGCTCACCACAAGATCGGCTGGATTGTGACTTGGGTCATGAGCGCGCAAGTCATCATGTCGTTAATCTTTGCCTACGCTGGCAGAGGCGAGTCCGAATCGAGCGCATATGAGCGCGCGGCCTTCCTCCCGGTCTCTACCGATGAGATGGCTCACACCTACCCGGCTGGTATCCGTCACTCGTACCGTTGGTCGCGCGATAGCGGACAGGGCACGGAAAGAAACTCCTCTTCCCTCCACAGTCGCCCTAGCTCGCCGTCTTGTGCATCGCCTTCGGATGAGTATGATGGTTTTGAGAAGCCGGAGGACCCGATTCTTGAGCATTCGTCCCAACCGCGTGGTTGGTTCCGTGTCCCGTTTTTCGACCGCTTCCTCGCCAGCCGAGTGCCTCGTATGGTCTCCAACAGGGCCCTTGGCATCATCTCTATTATTTATGCAATTATTGACAGGATCATCTTGCCGTTTGGCTTCATTGCCCTTACAACCGGTGGAGTGACTTACGGTGGTCTCATGGTAAGTCGCGAGATTATCAGTCATGGTAGATGAAGCCAGCTAACGTGCGACGCAGAGAGCAAGCGAGGTCTTCAATGGACTTGCCCACTTCATCAAAGGAGGCATCTTCTTCTGGTACGGCATTCTGACACTGGGACGCATGCTTGGCTGCTGGGCCGATCTTGGCTGGGCCTGGAACGTGAAGCCGTCCAGCGCCATTGTCGGTAAATGGAAGGCCAGAATCCCCTCTGGCGAATTCGTTGAGTCATTCGTGATCTTCCTCTATGGTATCACCAACGTCTTCCTGGAGCATCTCGCTGGTTGGGGTGGCGCATGGACTGCCACCGATCTCGAGCATGTGTCCATCTCCATCATGTTCTTCGGTGGTGGCCTGTGTGGTATGCTCTTCGAGTCGAAGCGCGTCCGAGGCTGGCTGAACAGCACGGTCCTGCAGTATCCCTCCCACATGAGTGCGCACACATCGACGGATACTGCCTGGCAGCTCCCTGACACCCAGGGTGTGTCGCTTAACCCCATGCCTGCGCTGATCATTCTCCTACTGGGGATGATGATGGGATCTCATCACCAAACTAGCATGGTTTCCACCATGGTGCACAAGCAATGGGGCAACCTCCTGGTCGGCTTTTCGCTGGCTCGGGGTATGACCTATGTTATCATGTATCTCAAGCCCCCGACCTCCTACCTTCCATCTCGTCCACCGACCGAGATCGTTGCTGCTTTCTGCTTAATGTCGGGTGGTTTGGTCTTCATGCTTAGCGTAAGTCTGAAAGGGAACTTTGCATCGACTGCAAGACCTGTCTGGCTAACTTCTGGGATAGACACGTAGCGTGATCGACGTGCTGGAAAAGTACGACCTCGATGCGATGTTCGTTTTTACGGTCACCATGGGACTGACCGCCTTCATCATGGCCTGCGAGATCCTCGCCATTGCCATCAAGGCCTGGGCGGTGAAGCGGGAGTCTCGCCCTGCCCTGCCGCCCTTCCAGTTCCCGGCCTCCGCCTGAGGCTACATCCGACGACGCCTTGGCAGTTGATTCCATCGAGGGCTGTCAGGGCGCGGGCGGAACCAACAAATCAACAAACCCAAAAAAAAAACATATCTGCTTTCCACAGCATTATACCCCTTACAACATTGGTTTTCTTCGGTCTGGTGTCTGATCTCGGACATACGGGTGACGAACATAATACGACCATATATACCACGGCCCTGTTCTACGACTCTTATTCATCTTTGACGTGCCCCCGTGTTAATGACCCGATATCCCTGTTACGGAACATAATGAGGAGGTGATTGATGACTTTTTGGATCTATCGATATAATGAATTGGTATAGGTTTTCTGCATGGACCGATTAAGTTGGCCTTTACACTTCCGTATCATATGTAATGTGATTGGACGGGATTCAATCCCGCTGCCACTTCCACTGTCTACTGTCTCCATGACGGGATCACCCAATCTTGGGCGCAAATCGCCCTGCATAGTGGTACCTAGACGTGCTCCATGCTGGCATACTGTGCACAGTGGAGATCGATGCCGGGGTTAACTAAGTCCGGGCCACCGACAAAGCTTAACCTGAAAGTGTAACGCCCGACCTCGGCGGGAATTGCCGGTCGGCAGCTTCTCGCTAGTTGCTAGAAGCATCCCGCAAGACCGCCACTCGGCGAATCTGATATACGCCGAATCCCCCTTCCCCTCAGCGACTGGACAATATTAGCAGTCTGGCTGAACGACCTTCATGGTGGCCTATAGCGGGCTTCTATCAACATGCAAAAGAACAATGTATGTTAAGAGTGTGTGATGTCGGGCATCGCACTGTGTCAAGTATTAGTAATTAATGAGGGGCAGCAGGTGGGGAGGGGCATTTTGGAGAAGGCGGCTCGAGGTGGATGCCGATGCTGCTCGTTTGGGGCGAAGCCCAGTGGTTATATAGTCGCCAGTCTCCCTTGGTATCCTTGACACTGAAACTCTTCCCCCTGTTCCTGTCTAGCCACGTCCCAAGACTAAACAATCATCACCATGGCCTCTAACCCTCCCGGAGCTTGCTGTGCCCAGGGTTTCAAGCATGAAGGCACCCCTGTCGGCGAAGTCAAGAAGATCAACGACAGTACGTGGTCCCACTGGATTTCTTTCTCATATGCCCCCTTCTAACGCCACCTTGTCTCGTAGTCGACACCTACATTGTCTACCCCAAGGACAACAAGACCCCTGAGAAGGCTGTCCTCTTCCTGAGCGACATCTTCGGTCTCTTCAACAACGCCAAGCTCGTTGCCGATGAATTCGCCAACAACGGCTACCTGTGCGTCCTTCCCGATCTCTTTAATGGCGATGCCATTGAGCCCGCCGCCATGGAGTCTGGCAAGTTCGACATTGGCGCTTGGTTCCCCAACCATCAGCCCGCTCACGTCGACCCTATCGTTGAGTCGACGATCAAGTACATCAAGGGAGACTTGGGCGTTAAGCGCATCGCCGCTGTTGGTTACTGCTTCGGTGCTAAGGTGGGTTTTCTCTTCGGACAGTGCAACGTTCGCCCGCTAATGAGGCTCGCCAATTAGTACGTCTGCCGTTTCATGAAGGACGACAAGATCAACGTTGGCTTCAACGCCCACCCCTCCTTCGTCACCCACGAGGAGCTCGGCGCCATCCAGGGCCCTCTGTCCATTGCTGCTGCTCGTAAGTGATTCAGTGCACTTTTTGAACACATTGTTGGATACGCGAGCGCATGTTAACATATTTCTCGCATCCAGAGATCGACAACATCTTCACCACTCAGCTTCGTCACGAGTCCGAGGAGACCCTGATCAAGACTGGCCAGCCCTGGCAGATCAACCTGTACAGCGGTGTCTCCCACGGTTTCGCTGTCCGCGCCGACCTGAGCAACCCCCACTTCAAGTGGTCCAAGGAGCAGGCTTTCTGCCAGGCCGTCGCCTGGTTCAGACAGTACCTGTAAATGCGTGAAATAACGCATTAGCCGCTTCTTCTGTACATGTTACCATTAGTAAATAATGAATCCACATGAGGAATGACTGTCGTGAGAACGAGTAAGACAGATCGTCGTAAGTTCTCCGTAGAAAGGAACGATAAACGTTATCTTCCACGTGACTATGAAGATCCGCGCTGCAAAAGGAACGGCGAGTCCAGGTCAGCCTCAGGCCGAGAGGAATACGATCCAGCCACCCCAAGAAGCACTACTTTAGTGCTCTTGTCCTCATCGTTGGGGTTGCCTGGTGATCTCGGTTAGAGTTTCATTGCTCGCCATCTCTTCGTGCTGTCTGGGTCTCGATTGTTGTCTTGTTTCATCTTGGCCTGACTCCCGTCGCGTGTGTCCCGGAGTTTGCGTGCAATTATCCCGGCTTCAGACAACTCGTTGCCAATGACTTGCAGTTCATTAGTCTCCTATCAAATCTGACAGATATATTTCACTGGGCCCATTTATTCAGGCTCGCTTCTTTCTTTAACCTTGGGACGCATACTTTGGTCTCCGAGACCGCTCCATCGCCCCCTAGACTCCACCAGCACCGTCTTGCACTTCCGACACTTGACATCCCTCATTCGACATTATTATACTCCCCTCCGACACTATAGCGACAACTCGCTCTCGGTCTACGGTGCTGTGACCACTGACTTTATTACCGCCATCTCGCTACCTTCAAACGCCGACCACCATGGCTACCCCCGCCGCTCTGCCGCCGCTGCCCTTCAACCCGTCTAGGGTACGATCTTACGTCCTCCGCCTCCCTCTTTTCACACGACTTGTGCTTTTAGCGATCCTTGTCTTTTGGTTGCTCGAGTTGCAGACGATGTGGAGCGTGGTGCAATGGGGGTCCGTTATACCGGATGAGGTTGGATTCGGCACCAGTATGTCTCCTCGGGCACACGTGGCCTTGCAAGTATAGCCACGTTCTGACGCATAAGATAGTGTACCGTCTCAACACATATCCTTTCATCCACCTGGGATTTTTTCATGCCTTTCTAAATGTCCTGGCGCTTACGCCCCTGTTGGAGCGGTTTGAGGCCGAGCATGGCACGTTGACCGCAGTCGCGCTGTTCATTGGGCGTAAGTCTGCTTTCTTGGCGTTCTGGAGTGGATGGGAGATTGAATGAGACATGCTAACCTGGGTGTCGGTTGTATTAGCTCTCTCCACGCTTCCGGCAGGTCTCTATATTCTGGTTGAGAAGTTTCTATTGCACAGGAATACTGCTGTCGTGGGTTCAAGGTGAGTGCCCTATCTGTATCGCAATTTACATGAAACAGTCCCTGATTATATCCAGTGTCTGGGTCTTCCTTCTTCTAGGCTCCGAGGCTATTCGGACATTCAAGTCGAACCCCTACTTTAGGTATTTGTCGCCATCAATTCTTCCTGGGGACTTAAACTAATGCAGCTTCAGTCTCGGAACGACCAAGATCCCCACGTGGACGTCGCCCCTGTTTGCGTGCGCTCTTGTCTCGATCCTTGTGCCTAATACGAGCTTTCTTGGGCACCTGTGTGCTATCTTGGTTGGGTACTTGCGTAAGTGCATATTCCTTTTTGTATACCTAGGCTAGCGGCTAATTCGTGCTCGTCAGTCGGACTTGGATTCCTAAAGATCTTCGTTCCCCCGGAGAAGGTTCTGAGATGGATTGAAGGCAAACTCAATCTCCTTGGAAGACTGCCCCATTATGTGTCAGTGGACCAAAAGACGTACGGTCGTTATGGTGTCCTTCCAACAACGACCACCGGTGGTGAAAGGGGAACCCCGATGAGCTTCCTCGGCTCGTCGCAACGCCTTGGCCCGTGAGGAATCACCTGTTTACCTGGAGAATACTTTCTTGTGCATAATTAATTAGCATTATACGGCATTCAATAGTCTCCGCAATTTTGCGGGGAAAGCAAATAATAATGGTTCGGCCTGAAGTTGTGCAGGTGGTCTATAGCGGTCAACGTAAATTTGCGGGCAGTTGATTAGTGCTCCGTAGCGGCGGTAGACATCCCGGACCATCGAGCATCACCACCATGGGACCAGGTCCCCGAATGCCTCGCATCTCATGGCCTTGAAATGTAAGATGTCTCTGAGCTGTGCTATCCATCGCTGAATCCCCTACTCTAATGGCACCGAATCCATCCTTCCCCCTCCCAATCCCATACTGCTCACCCTTGCTCACCTTACCCCGGATTGTCGCGAAGGACACCTCAAGCCAGACCACGCTGACAGAACAACAACAACAGCTGTGATCCGCAAGTTGCGGAGTAACCCCCACTTTCTCTTCGTGCATCTACCTCACATCCTTTCTTTCATCTGCATCGTCGCCGGCGTTGTCTGGCTGCTCCTCCTTCCCCTCAACGATTACTCCCGGCAAACCTACATCTCCGAGAACGCGCTTCTCCCCGGTCAAGTCCATGCCTATTTCTCCGGCAGCGAGCAGCACATCTTCCGCGGATACAAAAAGGAGCTAGAGGGTGTACTAACAGCGCAGACCGAGGATGGACAAGAGGGATGGAATGACGATTTCACACCAGCGTATGTTATTTGAGCTCGGATACCGTCAGGATGCGTTGCTAACTAGGTATGGGTGTCTATCAGGGTGTCGGATAAGATTCAATCGATTCTGAAGGCCACCGGGCTGAAAGTTGCCACGCAAAATTACAAGTACACGTCGTCCGGGATCACGCATCAGGGTCAGAATGTCTACTCGATTATCCAGGCGCCGCGAGGGGATGCTACGGAAGCTATTGTGCTAGTTGCGGCTTGGAAGACGGTGGACGATGAGCTGAACCTGAATGGTGTCACTCTTGCACTGACTCTGGCGAGATACTTTAAGCGTGGGTGGTTTTCCTCATGGTGGTTATGCAGTGTATGATTTGCTCACGGAATTGGCTGCAGGGTGGTCGCTATGGTCGAAGGATATCATCTTCTTGTTCCCGCCGGACAGCAAAGCAGGCACGCAGGCGTGGATCGACGCTTACCATGATATGCAGCCAGCTTTTGTACAACCCCTGCCGTTGAAGAGCGGCGCGTTGCAGGGCGGCTTGGTGATCGAATACCCGTTCGACCATCGGTTCGAGTCCCTGCACATCCTGTACGATGGCGTCAACGGCCAGTTGCCCAACCTAGATCTGTTCAACACGGCTGTATCCATCACCGGTGGGCAGATGGGCATTGGAACCAATCTGCAGGAGATGTGGGATCACGATGACAGCTACGAAATGCGGTTGGAGACTATCATGAGGGGAATGGTCAAGCAGGGCTTCGGTTATGCGACGGGTCCGCACAGCAGCTTCATGCCGTATCACATTGATGCTATCACTCTTCAGACGAAGGGCGATGGTTGGCAGGATGAGATGGCGCTTGGCCGCACGGTCGAGAGTCTCTGTCGCAGCTTGAACAACCTCCTGGAACACTTGCATCAGAGTTTCTTCTTCTACCTTCTTATGCAGACCAACCGCTTCGTCAGCATTGGCACGTACCTCCCCAGCGCGATGTTGATCGCTGGCAATTTCACCATCATGGCAATCGCCCTATGGCTCCGAACGGGCTATTACCCAGGCGCCCAGCAAAGCGCTCAAGCCGCGAAGGTTACGAAAGAGCAAGCCGCAACAGCAACAGAGAAACTCGACGACAAGCAGCCACCGGCCCAACCAGACGCCAGCAACATCATAGAACGACAACTCGCCCTCCCACTTACCCTTGTTGTCGGCCTCCACCTCCTGGGGCTAATCCCCCTCTACATCTTCAACAACATCTCTCACCAGGTCCGTCCCCCTACCCCAATATGCCATAACCCCAACTAACACTCACCACCAACCAGTACTACCCAACAGCAACCTACACTAGCATCCTCGCCAACTTTATCCTTCCCCTCCTCCTCGCCGCCGTCCTATCCCATGGCCTCAACCCCAACCCCCAACAATACCTCCTCATTAAATCCTTCTCCCTCCTCATCCTAGGCCTCTTCCTCTCCACCCTCGCAACCCTCAACTTCTCCCTCTCCTTCATGATTGGCCTCCTCTGCGCACCCCTCAGCTTCGTCAACCGCATCAACCCGCACACCACCTCCCGTCCTCTCCGGTATATACTTTCCACGCTGGGCGTCATCTTCCTGAGCGTTCTTTCCCCGCCTGTGGTCCTCTTAGTGGCGTGCAGTTACTTCGGGGTCGATCTGGAGACCGTGCTGACGCAGGCGGCCTTCGGGTGGGATGTTTGGGGCGTGTGGACGCAGGTCGTTGTTTGGTGTGTTTGGTGGCCTGCTTGGGTGTCCGGGTGTGCGTTGGTGGGGTTTTCGTTGTTTAGTTCTTAGATACTCTGTGGTAGAGATTCGGGTTACTGGTTAGGTGGGTGTGGTGTGTTTTAGAAGGTGGGTGGGTAGATTGCTATGTTACCATAGTATGGTTGTATTTATAAATTTAGGTTTTGAATTATATTAGAATGCGAATGCATGATTGACGACCGTGTGGGGGGTGACTTTCGTGGTTCTCAATTATAATGAGGTTTCTAGTACTTGTTCGTACATACATGCATGTGGTGCTCTTTTACCTGAGCCGGGGACTAACATAAGGGGGACAGAAGGAAGGGGAAAGGAAAACGAGGGGAAATCTATGCAGCCCACACGTCTTTTCCAACGCCCTCGATCCAGTGGCCCAGCTGATTGACACCAGCATCCCAGTCCTTCAGTCTGTTCCGCATGCCCTCGATCTGCTTCATATCCAGCACCTTCGGCTGCACCCAGTTGATCTGCGCGACCTGGGCCACCTGGTCAATGGCACCCTTGAGCAGACCCAGCGACAGCGCCTTCATGATCAGATGCTCAATCTCCTGAGGCTTGACCTTCGTTTCGGCGGAGATGGCAGAGAAAGTCAGGTTACGGTCGTGCGGGGGACGGCGGAAGACCATCTCCGTCAGCGCGGACAGAGAGATCTTCTGGTACAGGAAGATGCGGTGCTGCGCCAGCAGCTGGTTCTTGGAGATGTTTCCGGCGAGGACGTCGTAGGCGGTCAGGTCGCCGCGGTTGAAGGCGAACAGGAGGTCGCGCAGCCAGCTGTGCGGCGTCTCGGTGAGGGAGTCCAGGATCGGGTGCAGGAGGAGTTCACCGAAGTTGTAGATGGTGTCGGAGACGAGGGCGGCCACGCTCAGGTTGTAGGCGCGGGAGACACGCTCGGCTTCGCTGAGGTCCTCGAGATTGATGCAGGCGAGGTAGAGGAGTGCGTTCTTGTAGAAGGAGGCGAATTCTTGTTTGGCCTGGATAAATGGGTGCTTGGTTAGTGAGTCCCGGTGGCGGGTGCGGGGAGGTACCTACGTGGTAGTAGTCCGCATTGACTTTGTAGAAGGATGCGTGCACCACGGTCTCCACAGAGTCGAACGTGTCCAGCACTTTCTGGCATGCCTCCAGGTCCTTCTGCGCGCCGTTCAGGTCTTGTAGCCGTTGCTTGACATTGGCGACATCCGCAAGGGCGTAGATGTAAGCATCTTGTGACTCGGGCTTGTTCACTTTGTCTGCCAGTGATGTGAGGAAGGACAGGCGCTCTTGGTCATCTGGATATAGAAAGATTAGCGAGGCCTCGACTCGCCATGGAGCTAAAGGTCGGTATGACGGGATACGAACCGGCACACTCCGTTGATGCCATCAAACCCAACGAGACAAACTTGAGCTGGTTGATTCTATCGGCGAAGCTGAGGACGAAACTCTTGAATATCGGTAGTCGCTGGGCAGCGCTCTCTGGTAGGCGGAAGAACTCGACCAGGGAGTCCGTAAGCTGATGCCATAATTTGCGCTCCCAGTAGTCTTCGAAGCTTAGGAAGTAGGCCTGGCACTGCTCGGGAGCTTGCTGCATCTGATCGGTGAGAAAATCGGAGATCCGTTGGTTCTCCATGGTGGCTGGGGGGTTCAGTAATGCGGCGGGGGGTCTGGTAATAGATGGATGGAAGATCGGAGGATATGAGAGGGCGAATGGATGTAATCGGGGCGAAGATGGGGCAGCGAAGCTGATCTGAAGTGGAAGCGGAGCTGGTCGTGATGGACCGCCGTCGAAGCTCGGGCGGTGAGGCACATGACATCGCCTACGACATCATCCTCGGCGGCTCCCATCTCTTCCTCGCAGGTGTCCAGATACCAGTATTTCGCCGATCGGTTCGAATCTCAGCCCAAAGTCCGATTGCCTTCCTGCAATCCTGGTAGCTGTTTGGCCTCAACCATTCCCAAAGCTACCTTAGTGGCGACATTAGACCCAGATGGTCTACAAGATGTCTCCGATATGTCTCCGAGCTTGCCATAGCCGCCTGCGTTCAGGCTGATCATTTCTGGGCAGTAAAGCTATAAATATGGCCGTTTTGCACCTTGAATTGTGCTCTTGTAGTTTTGAGCATCTTCTGCTTTTTCAACAGTTCTAAAAAACTTAAATTATTTGCTCCCATCCATTGTTGCGATTATCCAAGTTGAACATTTACATCCAATCATGGCAGAACACACCGAGGCGAACCGTCAATACTTTGAGTATGTACACAGGGCTTGTTCTGTCTCAGGTGTGGCTACTTACAGTTCACAGAAAGTTGGCCAAGTCCTACAAGACCGATTTTCAGAAAGGTTTGGAGGCAATCTGCAGACAGGTGGATAGTCGCCGTTCCTGGATCAGTGACATTTGGACCAACACAGAGGCCGGAAATGGGAAAGAGATCAAGATGATGGAGTATGCGTGTGGGCCTGGTGCTGTCTCTTTGGTAAGTTATCCTCTTACCTAAGTGCTGTCGAAGTGAGCAGTGCCATGGGCCCAGACTAACAGTTCTACAAGACATTGGCACCCTTTGTCTCAAAAGTCGTTGGCTTGGACGTCTCCGAAGGGATGGTCAGCGAGTATAACAAGAATGCCCAGGAAGCAGGCTTTGGAGACAAGATGACCGCGCTGAAAGGCGACCTTTTGGCCGAGACTATCCCGGAGGAGCTCCCAGGGCCCGAGTACTTTGATTTTGACATCGTGGTTGTCAGCATGGCTTTTCACCACTTCGAGCGGCCGGACCTGGCCATGGCCCGCTTTGGCGAACGGCTGAAGAAAGGTGGTGTGTGTATGGTCGTCGATATTGTACCAGCCAGCGACGACCATCATCATCACCACCACCATCAGGGCCCTCATAGGGTTGAGCATGGTTTTGGCAACGCTGAGCATACGGTCAAAAGCCATGGGTTCACTGAAGAGCAGATGCAGCAGCTATATGAAGGCGCAGGTCTAACTGGCTTTAGATATGAGGTTATGGATGAGCAGGTTGTGTTCCACAAGGAAGGGAAGGAGCTGATCAAGACCCTGTTCATTGCTCGTGGGCAGCGTGTGTGATATAGATAATCTATAGCATCCGTATGCGATGAAACCTCGATTGAAAGCTAAGCGCCAAGCAATTCCATTCGAATTCAGGATCATTTCAATTCCCAATTGATGCAATGGCTTTCAATATGTCTGTTATACTCCGTAGACTCGTTGACATGACGATGATGGGCGTCTCGGCCAATCAGAGTTCTCGAATAGTCAGACGCGATTTGGTGTAAATCCCACGGTCGGCCACAGAGCGCGCTTCCGTGCTGAAATTGAAAATTTCAGTAAGCTATTGGAAGCACTATACCTGCGTCAGCTGCATTAGGCACCTAGGATCCCCATTCGAGCATTTCAAAGGGGAGCACGAGCAGCTGAGGCAGCGAAGTGCTGACCGAAAACGGACTAGCGCGAGAGTCCCGTGCCAACTCCAGGATATTCGGGACCACGACTTTCGACCAGCTGCAGCAGCACAAGTCCTGACGTCGAGCTCCGCTCTCTCCCCTCTCCTCCCTTTTGTCCATCGAACCTCCGATCCGGACGCAATTCGGTGGTCTCATCCAATTCGCAAGCAGAATTGAGACCATGCAGACGTCCCGGGCCGTCAATTCCGCCATGGGCTCGAGGGCCTTTGCCCCCGCCCCCAAGTTCCAATTCCAGATCCAGCGCCGGAATCTCCAGGATGTTGCGATCACTCGGACTGGAAAGCCGATTCTGAAGGTCCAGGGTGGACGGTAAGGGCGCATATGCCGGTGTGGTGGAGCTTCGTGATGCTGACTGGTCTCTTCCACAGGTCCTCTCTGGGAGGTACATCGCCCTCGTTCTGCCCCCCGCCGGGTTCGCATGCTGTCAGACGACTAAATCTGCTCTTCTCTAGGTCACACCGCGACTGTCTTCGGTGCTACTGGTTTCCTCGGTCGTTACATCGTCAACAAGCTCGGTATGTTGGGCAATTGGTCGGCCGGGAGCACAGAGATTGACGTCGTTTAGCTACGCAGGGATGCACCGTTGTCGTCCCCTACCGTGAGGAGATGACGAAGAGACACTTGAAGGTCACCGGTGACCTTGGCCGTGTCAACTTCATTGTATGTTGGCTTCAATTCGCGCTCGGGGGGGGGGGGGTCTGGTTTAGCCGACTAACCCGGTGGTCCAGGAATACGACTTGCGCAACACTCAGTCCATTGAAGAGGCTGTGCGCCACTCCGACGTCGTCTACAACCTTGTTGGCCGTCAATACCCTACCAAGTCAGTTTTGGAACGAAGCAGTGGCGAAGCGCTGCTAATGGCATTGCAGGAACTTCACTTACACCGATGTCCACGTCGACGGTACGGAGCGCATCGTTGAGGCTGTCGCCAAGTACGACGTTGACCGCTTCATCCACGTCTCCTCCTACAACGCCAACCGCAACTCTCCTTCCGAGTTCTTCGCGACCAAGGTCCGTGTGTTGGTTGATGCAATGGCGTTCACATGCTGATTGTCGCAGGCCTGGGGTGAGGAAGTGGTCCGCTCCATCTACCCCGAGACCACCATTGTCCGTCCCGCGCCCATGTTCGGTTTCGAGGACAACCTCCTCCACAAGCTCGCCCGCGCGAGCAACCACCTCACAGCCAACCACATGCAGGAGCGCTACTGGCCCGTTCACGTATGTTAAGAGCAGCGGATTCTCCAGCCGGATGCTAACAGACAGTAGGCCATTGACGTCGGTGCTGCTCTGGAGCGTATGCTGCATGACGACAGCACCGTGGGACAGACCTTCGAGCTTTACGGCCCCAAGAACTACTCGACTGCCGAGATCGCCGAGCTGGTTGACAAGGAAATCGTCAAGCACCGTCGTCACATTAACCTTCCCAAGGCTGTTCTCAAGCCTCTGGCTTACTACATGAACAAGTACCTCTGGTGGCCCACCCTGTCGGCCGACGAGGTGGAGCGCGAGTTCATCGACCAGGTGATCGACCCGAACGCCAAGACGTTCAAGGATCTGGACATTGAGCCTGCCGAGCTGAGCAACCTGACCTTCCACTACCTGGTAAGTGCTGCGTACGATATGGATGGATATGAGCTAACGTTGAGCAGCTGGGATACCGTAGCGCCTCGTACTACGACCTGCCCCCGGCCACGGAGCGGGAGAGACAGGAGGAGAAGAAGTACCTGCACGTTCTCGACGACCAGTAGTCTGTTTTTTTAGTGTACATAACCTACTAGACCCATTATTCCGTTTGTTCTCTTGAGTAGTGCAACTAGCCATCCGTAGACCGATCAAAAGATCGACGTCAGTACTCCGCACGCGTCACGCCGCGGCTCTCCGCATCCACCACACCCATCCATCCATCCATCCCACTTCCCAAGCACTCAACCCCACCACCAACTTTCCACCAACACCACCATCACCACCATCACCACCACAATGGACTCCCCAACGCCTCCAATCCTCCTCCTCAAAACCAAATCTACCCCAACCGACGGCTACGACGAATACTTCACCCAAAACAACTACACCCCGACCTTCATCCCCGTCCTCGAACACCACTTCCACTCCGCAAACCTCCAATCCATCCGCTCCCTCCTCACCTCCGGCGCATTCACACCCGGCCAGGGACGGAAATATGGTGGATTGATCTTTACCAGTCAGCGGGCTGTCGAGGCCTTTGCGTCCGTGTTGGAGGGACTTGATGGTATACCTCAATCCCAGATACATTCCCATTTCTATGACCTTTTCCTCTCTGGAGTACAAGCAGAGATATCACCTTGATACCTATGGATATAGATTTAATATACTAACAATATAATCCTAACCAGAACCAACAACCCAAACCACAAAAACCCTTCAAATTCCAATCTACACCGTCGGCCCCGCAACCCACCGCACCCTGACATCCCTACTCCTGCCCTATTTCCCGAACGCCGAGATCCACGGGAAAGATACCGGCAATGGACAAAACCTAGCACATTACATCCTGGAGCATTATAACTCGCTTTATCCTCCCCCCTCAACCTCAACCTCAACCTCAACCTCAACCTCAACCTCAACCTCAACCTCAACCTCAACCTTGACATCCACATCTACGGCTCACAGCAACGCCCCAAAACCACCCCTTCTCTTCCTCGTGGGTGAACAACGACGGGATATCATACCCAAAACACTAATGGATTCTACGCTCCCTGATACGGAGCAGATTGGTGTGGAGGAGGTGGTTGTTTATGAGACGGGGGTGATGGGGGGTTTTGAGAAGGGGTTTCGGGAGAAGGTGGAGAGGGAGAGGGAGGTTATGAGGAGGGTGATGGAGGAGGGGGATGGGGAGGGGTGGGTGGTTTGGGTGGTGGTGTTTTCGCCGACGGGGGGAGAGGGGATGTTGAGGGGGTTGGGATTTCTGGAGGATGGGCAGGGGAAGGGTGAGGGTCAGGGTTGTAATGGGAGGAAGGAGGAGGAGGAAGGAGAGAGGAGGTTCTTTGTGGCGACGATTGGGCCGACGACGAGAGATTACCTGAGGGATCAGTTTGGGTTCGAGGCGGATGTTTGTGCTGAGAAGCCGAGTCCCGAGGGAGTGGGGAAGGGGATTGAAGGGTTTATGAGGGAGTGGAGGGCCAAGAGGGGCTTATAGGGTGTAGGAGTGCTATGGAGGAGTGGGGTTGGGGCTGTATATTATGTATACCCATAGTTTGTGCTAGGTGATGTTTCAGGTCTATATTGCATTCAGGCGCTAACATATGGACGAAATTCAGGAGCTGGACTATCGCTGAAACTGTCAGACCGCTTTCCACATCAACTCAACTCACGAGATGCCGCAGTCAATCCAACATTACTCCGCCAGGCCGCGTGCGCGTGGCCGGCCCGTTTCTTCTATGCATCCAGGCGGTATGTGCATACATCAACTCCGTCCCATCATCATATCAGGCTTTGCCGTCTGTAGTCCATGTCAGGGGTGTATCAATTGCAATCGGTTCATGAAGCCGTCTACCGCATAATCTCCTCGTAGATCAGGACTGTGCCAAGTTAGTAGAGATCCTGGAACACAAGGTAGGGCACACTGACGCTTCAATTGCTCCTTGCTGAGCGCATCCTTGTTCTTGTCGAAGTCGAAGAACCCTTCGGGGATCGGCGGCGCCGTCGGCTCATCATCAGGGTCGTGGTAGGGCTCGAGGTACGGATGGCGCAGCGCCTCTTCGACAGTAATACGCTTCGCCGGGTTGAAGGCCAGGAGCTTCTCCAGAAGGTCCAGCGCCAAGTCGTTGCTCTTCGGGAACATTGCCCGGAAGGGGATCTTCTTCTTGAAGGGAAGCGAGCGAATGTACTCCCGGGCTCGGCGAGACTTGATGCCATAGTAGTCCTCCATGGTCGGCGTGCCAAGAACATCGAGGATCAGAGTCAGTTGGTGGTGGTCTGTCATTCCGGGTCAGTTCTGCTGTCACGGCACCAGCCCAATCCACTTACAGTCCTTTCCGGGGAATAGCGGCTTCCCGCTCAGCATTTCTGCCAGGATACAACCAACACTCCAAACATCAATGGCCTTGGTGTATTCCTTGAACGTCAACATGATTTCCGGGGCACGGTACCACCGCGTTGCGACGTATTCCGTCATGAATCCCGAGTTGTCGTCGGTCGATGCGGCTGACCGGGCCAGGCCAAAGTCGCACACTTTCAGATCGCAGTTTGCGTTGAGGAGAAGGTTTGATGGTTTGAGATCACGATGGAGGACGTTTGCGGAGTGCATGGCCTTCAGCGCACGCAGGGTCTGGTAGATGAAATATTGGCAATGGTCGTCGGAGAGATCTTGAGTACGAATGACCCGATGCATATCCGTTTCCATCAGTTCCTATATACGTCAGTTCTACCGTCTTCAGAGTCTCTGCACCCAACGTACCTGGATCAAGTACACCTCGTTGAAGCTCTCATAGTTCCGAGGTCTCTGGATATCCAAGATGGAGATGATGTTCTCATGGTTGAAATAGCGCAGCAGCTTCATCTCACGTAGGGTTCGCAGGCAGAACATGGAGTGGTCGAACGGAGTGATCTTCTTGATGGCCACCTTTTGGCCGGAAGGCTTGTGGATAGCAGAGCTTCGATTCTTTAGCAACGAGCACTTCCTCGCCCAGAATGAAACTCACCATACGACACCGTAGGCGCCCTCGCCAATGACGTCCTGAATTTCATATTGATCCGAAACGTTGAAAGAGATCTTTCGCGATCCCCCTTGAGGGGGTTGCTGCACCATGTTTGCGGTATATGAGAGCTAAATAGATGTCAGTCGACGTCAACTGTATTTCGGTGTTCGGCCACTGCTCAGTAGACTATCTCATCAGCCCCGATGGATACCGTCCTGTATAAAGCGACCAAGGTAGGCCTAGGATCGGGTCCGATGGGGTAGGAGACGGTCACATGCAGTAACAAGGGTGCCCATGAGTAACACCGAGACCGTCACACGTTCAAGCAACAGATACCGGGCATAGCGCTTACAGGATGGCCCTCGATTTGTGTTGGGTATGTTGGTGGCCTAAATATAACCAATGCGCATGCTAGGGCGCGAGTGTTGGGCGAGCGACAGGCGTTCGGGATCTGTCAGGGATCGGAAGCGGGGTACAGCGCGTGTCTGCAATCAAAACCACAGGGACCCGCAAGTTGCCGCCAGGTGTTCCGGAGGCGCCTGTACGTTCGGATGCGAGGGATTTAGCAGGATCGCGGACCAGGGGCAGTCGATAGTAAGACGCAGAGGCAGAAAGTGAACCGTTCAGCAAGCGCTTGCGGTGACCGTCTGATGTTCTGGAGGAGGAGGAGGATGTCAATGATGAAGACCGAGCACCAGAGGAGGGCCCTTTTGAAATAACATGTCAAGCCAGGATGGTTCCGAAAAGGAGAGCGACTTACCAATGTTGAGGAGAACTACTTTCACTCTCGTCTGATGTTTCACGGATCCGTTCTATTTTTAATTCCGTTGTATGGGATTCCCTCTTATCATGTGCTGTGCATCCCGCGATGGTCAGTTTCAAAGGGTTCTTTGAGCTTCCGGAATGGCAAGCAGAAACACACCAGGGGCAGCTTGAAGCAAAAGACAGAGCTGGGGGTAAAAAAAAGACAACAGGAGCTTGAGAGATGTGGAGGGGATGGAGAGACACAGAGCAATAGTCAACGCAGTAGTAGGAATCAATCAGGGCACTAGTGTACGTAGTAGGAAGTTAATAAACCGGGCGCGGATCGGCCAGAGTGGGGTGGGGCAGACAGAGAGGATGGAGGGGAAACGAGATGAGGAGAACGGCGGTCACTGACACCTGCTCGCGGGACTCTGCACGGAGTACGAATACGGTGTCAAGATGGAGAGGAGAGAACTCGTCGGGGAGAGGATGTCTTTTCTCTCTGTCGGTCCAACTCAATCCTCACGATCACTGACTTAAAAAAGGAAGCTAGCAGACCTACCAATCTTGGGATGCTCCGAAACGTGGAGCAAGTTATCGATAGAGGGAGGAGCCGACCCAGGGAACGAGGGTCGATAGCAGATAAGCCACGAGAGGGGGTCGCCGCAATGGATGGAGTCGCCAGGCCAGGACGAATAATTATAGCAACGATCCAACAATGGGTTGAATGAAGCAGTGGGAGAGCCCGAGAGTTAAAGGGGTTTGGGTTGGGGAGCAGCGCTGGGATGAATCAGCGGCGATGGCTGATTGAACAGTTGTTAACTAACACCAACCCATGGATGTACCGTACCGTACGTGTGTGCCTGATCCATCTTTCCGGTCCACCAGGAACATCACATTCAGCATCTGCAATAATATATACCAGGCCGGTGAGTGAGAATCCCACCTCTTAATCTCTGGTGTCCTCGATCCTCTAGCCAACATGAGGATTCCCCCTCTGCTCCCCATCAATCCCAAACCCGGCTTCATTTGGCCCTCGGTATTGCCGGTGGTCCTCCCCAGTCTCAACTAGTGAGACCCCGAACTACTAGGGACGAACGACCTACTCCAGTCTCCAAGGCCCCAAGCAGGCGTCGCATACAGCACACCTGCTACTCAATCGAGTAGGAGAGCCCTCTCCAGACTTGCCGGCCAGCCTCACAGTCGATCAACCTGGCCCTCCTTCATCCTGTCATCTAACGTGGCCGTCAATCACCGGGATGGGGCGACCCCCTACGGTTCCCCTCTGGCTCGGAGGCTACGTCTCGACCAGTGTTTCAACGCTTCTCCGCCCAGGCGAGACGCACAGCGCCAACTTCACACACCACGGGTCTCCACCAGGATCTGCTAATCACATTCACGCTCGGCCGCACAGATAAATTGGACACCTTACCCTCCTCAGTGGAGGGGGCAGTGCCATCGCGCTACTGTCCACCCGCCCGAATTCATCACAACTCGTCACATCCGCGCCGTCTGTTCTGGTCATGATGTCGCCCATGGGCTGGTGACTGCTCTCATCCTTCTGCGTGTTCTGGTCGCCCATTCGCCCATCCCTCCCAGCCATGTCCCCCTGTCCGCTCATGCTAAGGCTGTGATCTAAAGTTTACAATGCATGATCGGCCAAACAGACGCCCGGGCCAATGCAAGCTCTCGCTATCACAGGCCCCTCCCCTGGGCCAAATGTAGCCTTAGTTGACTGGTAACCTTGTTTTTTTTCCCCGAGGGGGCCAACAGCCATAAGTGGGGACGCGGAAAAAAAGAGCGCATACTTATGGCCCGGAACCCCAAGCGGAAATGACTATCGATGGGTTGGTCTTAAACGGTGTAGATAGGTACGGTGTGCGCGCGCGCGCGCTTTCAAGACCTGAGCAGACGGCGTAGGAACCAAGCTGGGGCTACTCGCAACAGGCGCCCCGATAGCGCAGGGCATCGGATATAGACAGGCAAAGTCCTTTGCCGTAATTGCATTTCAGGCAGACGCCAGACAACAACACAGGGATAAGTTACAACGACACCGCCAAACAAGACGAAAGCACTGGGAATGTATTGAATCTCCGTATAATTTACCAAAATCGAGAAGCTTATCATTACTGAACAACCTGTAGGCGTGTTCAAGCTCGTCAGTCCGATTGACTCCAGTGTGAACTAGGCGGCAATGACGGCAGAGGTAGAGCGCTTAGAAAACGGGGCAATCAAACCTTTTCCCGCAGCGAGCCCATCCATTGCACCAGGCTGACGCTCTGGTCAGCACGGTCCTCAACCAGCATGGTTTGCGCCCATAAGCGCAGACCAGGCTCTCCGTCCTCCTTGACCACATAGAGGTGCGGCACCGAAATGCTACCCACCCCCTTCGACCGGTGATCCCGGCTCTTCTCGAGCACCGCCCGCACTCTCTGGTTGAACTCGTTTTCAACGTCCGGCAGGTTCTGCTTGCCCACCCGCAGTTGCGACTTATCCGGCAGGCCGAAGACATCTTCGATCAGCTGGGGAACCGCATCGCGTCCAACCCACAGAAACTGTGTCTGGCCGTCGTCAATGAGGTAGAGACCATAGGGCACAATACGCTCAGATGACAGGTTGATCGGCGGAGGGAGGACGATCTCGCCGGTCTGCTCATCGGGCAACCCGGCCGTGTCCGGCATGTCGTGGAGAGAATACATCTTGGGGTAGATATACTGCATGAGAAGAGGCAGAGGGAGCGTGGAGAGCAAGCAGAGAGCAGCAGAGCGCATGTCGGTCGGTATTTGCGCGGATTTCCGAAGACCAAGCTAAATGGGTGTCAGTACTCGCGACCACATGTTGAAACTGAACTGGAAACTCAAGGGCCTTACGTTTTTGATCATGGCAAGGAAAAGGACAGGCAGTCCTCTCAGGTTGGCGGGAAACTGAAGACCACCGCCGCTGACACTGCCTCCGGCCAGTTCCTTCCGGTAGGTCGACAGCAACTCCACGGCCTTGGCCTGTAGAGCCTCGCGGGCAGGTTCCAGACCACTTCCAAGAGCCCGCTCAACGGCCTTGTGACTGAAGTATGTAGCAACTGCTTGTTGATCTGCCGAAGCGTAGACATCGGCCAGGTTCTGAGTCGTGGGGAGCGCCAGAGTCAAGACGCGGATTCTCCTCTCGCCGTTGCATGTAGTGTGCAGAACCGCAGTCTGCAGGCAGACGACGGGCTTCGTGACGGTCTCGTCAATCGCGACTTCAACAACGTACGCCTGGTCGCGCGGGAAGGCGGGGAAGGCGCACAGATCGGAGCTGCGGTTGAAGAAGTTGCCGTAGAAGGTGTTCATACGCAGACCCGTGGTGGCACGGACACGGAGCACAGCCTCCAGGCCAATCTCCGAAGAGAGATAATCAGAGAACTCACGAGCAAACTTGATCGCATCCTCCGGGCGCGCGGCATTCCATCCAGGATAGAAGTAAGTTTGACCACCGGTGTACCTGGGCAGGTTACTGAGAGACGCAACGTCTTGGTATTGCGAGGAGAACAAGAACATGTCAACGGAGACCTGCGCTTTTGAACACTCGACGGCGAAACTCTTGTAGAAGCTATTGGCGGTCTGCAGCAGACTGCTCTCTTTGCTGGTGCCAAGGACCTTCTTGTCTTCTCTCATGGTCAACGAGCCATGGCCGATGTTAGGCAGAGAGGAGCTGAGCACGGTCATCTTGCCGCCAACGGGAGAGATGAGCTTGTATCCAGCACGCAGAGCAGATCCCATGGCGCAAGAGTTGCTCTGGGTGTTCTGGAACATTTCTTGCAGCTTATCGAGGAAGACCTCGATGTTCTCACGGCATTCGCTCAAGGTCACCAGAAGATCGCCGGGGATGGGAAGGAAAGGCTCGTCCAAATCGCTGATAACCAACATCCTAGGCTCCGAGTTCTCCGAGCCATCCCGAGGGATGCTGAAGTAATGGAGGCTCGAGTCGACCGCGATGAATCCCAGTCGTGTCCGACGGTCCGCATTAGGAATCCGGTCAAGGCTCTCCTTGATGCACCGAGCAGTCGTGGCCAGGAGCCCGTTTGTGACAGATGCGTAACTCACGTCAATCAAGAAAAGATAGACAAGCGGCTGCGGGGGTCGGACCATGTATTCTTGGGGCGCAACGAATTCGACTACCGCGTGGTTGAGATCGGGTCTCAACGACCTGTCCGCTGGCTTCTGCAGGGCGGTGTCCCAATCAAAGGCCTGAGGTACGTCATTCGTCAAATTGCACATGTTGCAGCGCCAGCGATGCCCATGGTCAAGGAATGTCACGAATGGATTGATGTAGGATCGGCAGCGGCGGCAACGCGAGATGACTTGGTCTGGGACAACGGGGACTGGGTCTTCCGAGTCATGGAGAGCAGCGTACGGCTGGATAACAAGAGCGAACGGCAACTTCGACTTCTTCAGGAGCGAGTGTGTAGTCGGGACGGCATTCAGGGTTGAACGAACGTATTTCGGAGGGCAGTTGGCATAGGGAGAAGGGTAAACGCTAGTCTGCCGACAGGTCAGCAATCCACTACTTCGCACTTGAAAACATCCCGGAGACATACACCCGGCGGCAGAACAATGGGGGGTGGCGGGTAATCGAGCTCCGCAACATTGAATGGCTGGGTAAGAAGATCGGTTGGGTAGAGCTGGTTGAGGGGAACAGCCCGCGGGGCCTGAGCCTGAGGAGCTGGAGCGACCGGCTGGGGGGGCAGAAGGTGGGGATCGGTCATGCCCATTGCACCAAACTGCTGGGTCATCTGTGCGACTTGAGGGCTGGCAGGCGCTCCGTATCCTGGGGCCACAGGCTGCACCTGCGCCGGGTCCGCCCCATACACAGGTTGCTGGTATCCCGCAGCTTGTGGTTGCGGCGGGTATGCTCCGTAGCTGCCACCGGCCGGCAACTGACCCCCTAAGGCAGCATTGGCACCGGAGCCGAAATCAAAAGCTTCTCCGGCATAGACTCGCTTCTTCCGACCTCCAGCTTGGCCTTGGGCGGCGGCGCCAGGGGCCAACCCCGCGGGCTGTTGAGTGGGAGATCCATAACCGACAGGCTGACCGTACCCTTCCTGGGGAGGGTAGCCCCCTTGCGGTGCTGCCATGGAGGATTGTGTGTGTTTAGCGACTAGTAGGAGAGAGGATTGTGGTTCCCCGAGGGGTGGTTAAGGGCGATCTCGAGGGTTTGCGAATATCGGGTAACTCGTTACAGGGTCACTGGATCGTCGGTCAACATTCGACGGGGATGGTAGAAAGGGGAATGCAGGTTGGAGGGTGTGCATACTAACAACCAAGAATTCACCGGATCGCAAACACGCAACAGTACGAGTGCCGGGGGATAGGGACGTCAAGGCCACGCTCAGGAAGCAGACGAGGTGTCCAAAAGGAGTTGGGGTAGCTGTGGGAGCGGAAAGGCGACGATGAATGATGGAGGATGGTGTACGGTGGCCTTTGCGGCTGCCTCGCCTTGGCCAATCAGCACCCCGCGGCCTAACCGACTCTCAAACAAATACTGGAGGCGGTCACTGACAACCCCGTGTTCATGGATCCTGGCACAGGGAACTTCACGATACTATAAGGAAATCAACCGGAATGGTGAGCTATTCGATTTACAGAAAATGGTGGTGGTGTTGAGATGAAGGTCGATGGAGTTGGGTGGGAGTGCGGTATCTGCCTGGTACGTATGATCTCATACTCGCCCAACAGGAGGCCACACATCTATGGGCTATCTACCCACTAAGTAGTATCTACTGCACAATACTGCCAGCTCTGACAGTGGATACTAAACCCCTCTATATAAATTGCATGTAAGTATTCACTTCTGCATACCTTAAGATAGATGTTACTAGTTTGATGACTGACAAGATCCCGATCTGAAGCTTGTATAATTTATCGGGATACTACCACAATTTATACTAGTACCGAGTAGATTCTAGAACCACTGGTTATAGAAAGGCACATAGACATGGGTTCTTGTAGTACAGATGCCTTGGTCACACATAAGGCATCCCTAACCCTGATTCTACAGTCCCAAAAGAAACAAGTGTGAAAAAGAAAGCATTGACGATGCACGAGATTCCACTCCGAACTGGTCGGGTGGGATGCCTGGGGTCGGCGAACGTGGGAGGTTGCCGTGCCAACAACGCTGACCGCTGCCAGTCGCACCACAACGAAGCTATCCCTGTTCATTCTCGATGAGCATCTCTATTGACCATTCTCTTGCACGGCCTTCCCCCGCCCTCAAATTGCTTTCTGTTGTTGTTTTCTGCCCTGATCTCGTTGTTTTTGTGCTACTTGCTCTCTGGAGTGCATGGATTGAAGGGCTGCCCATTCAGCGATCGACCTTTTTGAATTTCAAAGTGCGAGATACGTCGGCGGCAGCTTAACCTGCAAGGTTCGGCTGCTCATTTTTGGTCTTGATTTGCGACCAGTCAATATCATTCTTATGCGTCCACCATAAATCTCATTACACCAATTGGTCGATAGGGATTGGGTTAGGCGAGAATACGACAAAGTCCCGAGACTACAACTAAACCCTTGGATCCCCTCACACCACCACCTTGTACACAATGAGCGTCCGGGTAGTCGCGCGAGTTCGACCTCTTCTCAAATCGGAACGGGAGTTGGATGTCATCCTGCGCACAGGTTCATCAACCCAGGCAGTGCCTGGCAAGAGCGACAAAACAAGTTCCCAGGAGAAAGGAGGATTGGCGGCTCTGAGGGATAGGGATACTCTCGTACGAATCCCGAACCCGAAGAATGAGAGCGAAGAGTACTCGTTCCAGTTCAATGCTGTCTATGATGCGGAAGCTTCGCAGCAGGAGCTCTTCGATGCAGAGGGTTCGTACAGCCAGACGCTTCGGAAGGAATAACATACTGATCAGCGCGCAGTTGCTCCTACTGTCAAGCACCTTTTCAACGGCTTCGATGTAACGCTATTCGCCTACGGAGTCACAGGAACCGGAAAGACGCACACCATGCGAGGCGGTAAAAGCCTGGCTGATCGTGGCGCTATTCCCCGTCTTCTAAGCAGCATATACAGGCGCAGCCGAAAGATGGAGAAGGACAGTGGTGGAGAGACCTCGGTCAATGTTTCGCTAAGCTACTACGAAATCTACAACGACAAGGTCTTCGATCTATTCGAGCCCCCGGAGAAGAGAACGCTGGCGGGACTACCTCTTCGAGACAACGGTGGGAAGACAGTCGTCGTGGGTTTGACGGAGAGGCCATGCCACAGTCTGAAGGAGTTTGAAAGCTTGTATGATCAGGCCAATACTAATAGATCCACATCTGCGACAAAGGTTTGAATCCGCAATGCCCACTGCAGCAGAAAGAGATGCTAATGTTGTTGTAGCTGAATGCCCACTCATCGCGGTCTCATGCCATCCTCTGCGTGCGGGTCGCGATCAGCACCGGGGATAAAACGCGCATTAGCACTGCATCTGCGATTGACCTTGCTGGTTCCGAGGATAACCGCCGGACGGACAATGACAAAGAGCGTATGGTTGAGTCGGCTAGTATCAACAAGAGCCTTTTTGTCCTGGCTCAGTGCGTGGAAGCAATCAGCAAGAAGCACTCGAGGATACCATATCGGGAGTCAAAGATGACGAGGATCTTGTCATTGGGTCAGAACAATGGACTGACCGTGATGATCCTCAACCTGGCGCCGGTCAGATCCTACCATTTGGACACAATAAGCTCGCTCAACTTCGCCAACCGCACGAAGAAGATCGAAGTGCGCGAGGTGGAGAATGAACCGATGTTCAAGGGGCCTCCACGACCAGCGGCGCGGCCTTCGATGACAACTCAGCGGCAACCTCTGCGACCACTGACAGCTTCTGTGAACGTGAACCTTACTGCAGCAGCAAAGGACAAGGACACGACCAAGACACTCGAAAAGCCTGCGAAGGCCTTCCATGTCTATTCGGATAAGTCACATTCGAGGATCACAGCGCAGTTCAAGAAACCCGACGCTCCCAAGCGAACCTCTTTGAGTTCCGATATTTCTCGTCTTTCAAAGCCCACGCGTCCCACCCAGCTTGTGCACCAGTCACAAATGCATTATGATGACATCTCCGCCGCCAAGATTGAGGAGATGGTTGAGAAGAAGGTCGAAGAGATTCTGGCCGTACGAGCTGTCAGCGAGCAATCGAGGCAAACGCAGGTCCGCGAACTCAACGAGCAAGTCCAACGGCGCCTGGAGCTCCTCGAGCAACGCATTGAGGGCACCGAAGACGCAAGAGCCGAAGGGCTGTCGTATTTGCTCATGGCCAAGCAACATCAAGCTCGTGGCGAGGATAGCTTTGCGCTGCGGATGTACCAGCTAGCGCTTCCATTCTTTCCTAATAACGAGAAGCTGTCCACGAAGATCGCTACCTTGAAGGAGCGTATCCAGGGCAAATCCCGCCAGGATGCTGACACCACCGGCACCATTACTCTTCCAGCAGCGAAGCCGGAGCTTGGCAGCATGCTCTCCATCAAGAAACCACCCGCCAAGACCAACCTCAAGCGACTCGCCGAGGACTCCGACGCGGACTACGAGGAACAAGAAGAAGTAGCCCTCGAACAATTTAGCGACGAGGATCTCGAAGAAATCGGTCCCTCAAGACGCAAGAAGCGCACGAGGACCAACACCTCAATCAACGATGATGTCGACATCAATGAGCAACCCCCCTCCCCCAGAACAATCCATCTCCTCTCCATCATCAACTCCCGGGACATCAGCCAGATCAAGCTGCTGAAAGGTGTGGGCGTCAAGAAAGCCGGAGCCATCGTCGACTGCCTATGTGAGATGGACCAACATACAGGCAGCCCCGACGACGAGGCACGTGTCCACATCAACAGTCTTGCGGAACTGAGCAAGCTCAAGGGGGTCGGCCTTAAGAGCGTTCAAAGCATGCGAAACGGAGTTCTGGTGTAAACCGTACAGGTATCCACTGTTCAAGCTGCATTTTCCGGAGCCTGGGATATCATTTCTATATACATTGTCTGCTTGTCTGCCTTGTTGCATTTTCAACCTTCATTGCGTGCTACTACATACCTGTCTTGTTTTGGTTATATTTGCCCATTCATTGTACTTGATTCTGTGTGATTGGTTTTTGTCTTCAAGCGAGGGTGTTTAGGAGTTGAGAGAGAACTGAACTGTCTGGCAATCTGCTCTGCGTGATACATTTGTTTTGGAGATACTCTATGTAGATACAGCAGCATATCATCAAACCATAGCACTATATTGGAAAAATCGATACCGTACATGATGCTTTTATCCCCCACTTCTCTCTCACATTCTTCTATCCCATTCTCTATCTTTCCTCACTCACATCCTAGACAAATAACCTACCCACCAACCAACCAACTACCACCTCAATCCACTCCCTTCTCCCCCACCACACCATAACCATACTATACCCCCTCCCCCCCTCAACCCCCAATCCCAACCCAATCTCAAACTCTACTCCAAACCCCCCACCCCACCATCCTCACCTTCGCCAAACAATAAAACCCACACCCGGCAAACATCACCACCGCACAAAAGACAAACAAATGTCTATACGACCCATGCAACGGATCCGGCAACAACGCGCCCGCAATCGGCGTCCCCGTTAACGCCGCAAACGAAACAATAAAGAAGTACGTGCCGCTGCGGACCCCGATTTCGCGGATCTCGGAGATTTGGGCGACGAGGGCGGGGGCGAGCGAGACGACGGTGCCGGAGGTGAAGCCGTAGAGGGCGCTGAAGACGATGGCGGGGGCGTTGCCGTGGCTGGGGAGCCAGAGGGCGACGACGAGGATGCCGGATAAAAGGGTCATGAGGATCATGAGGTTGAAGCGGCCGAAGAGGTCCGCGAGGTAGGTCGGGATTATGCGGCCGGGGGTGCTGGGGGTGTTAATATGGGGGGTGGATATGGTGGTGGAAGGCTTACCTGGAGGCGTTGAGGATGGGGATCAAGTATGCTGCGAGGGTGGAGGACATGCCGTATCGTTCGGCTTGGGAGGGGATGAAGGAGAAGGGGAGGAACATGCCCCAGAAGAAGCAGAAGGTTCCGGCTGTGGTTAGGATGAAGGGGAGTTCGCGGAGAGGACGGATGAAGTCCATCACACGGAATTGCTTTCGGCGGTGCACGAGACGCGATTTCATGGTGAAGTTGGTGATGATGAGAAGAAAGAGAATCAGGAAGCCGCAGATTCTCATGGCCCAGCCGAAGCCGAGGATATTGAAGAGTCGGGTCAACATGATGGGAAGGATTACACCACCGAGACTGGCGCCTGCGGTCGCGATGCCGAGAGCAAGGGCGCGACGGAGGCGAAACCAGGTGCTTATGGAGTTGATGCTGGCGTGGAAGAGAGCGCTGGTTCCAATGGGGCTGCAGATGCCCTGCGCCAGGAGGATCTGGTAGTATTCTGTGGAGATGGAGGTCATCATGATACCGAAGACGTGCAGGATTGTGCCGCCGAGGATGATGTAGCGCGGACCGTAGTTGTCAAATAAGATGCCTACGAATGGGCCCTATGGGTGGTTGAAAGCTGCATGTCAGCGATCTTATTTGTTGGTGGTCCGGTTAGGGTTGTAGAGACGGACCCCGAAAAACATCATGAACGTCATTAATGAGGTGACCCATGTGATTGAGCTGGTGGACATGTTGCTCAGTTGGTGGGTTTGGTAGTAGTCGATGAATATACCCATACCTAGACTTTCGTGTTAGCAACAGCCATGAGGTCCGAGTACTGAATATCGTAGATCATATCAGATCTTGGGCCTCAGGTTGAGTGAACTCACAATTCGTCCAACCGAAACTGACAAACATGCTGCAGAAGCCCCCGACGACAGTCAACCATGCTGCAAGCCCGCCATCCGGAGGTCCATCAATTGCCGGTTCTTGCTGGCCCTCGAGAATGGCGTCTGATTTCTCTGGAGCATCACCCGCGTCACCACTCGCATCGTGCTTTTCCCTGAGGGATTGTTGTCTGTCGGGTTGCTCGTTTCTATTCGCCTCCGCATCTTCACTGGTGCTTGAAGCAGAGACTGGCTCGTGGAAGGGCTCTTTAGCATCGGTTTCGATTGTATCGCTAACGGGGTTGACCTCGTTTGGTTGCATTATGGTGTCTGCCGCGAATAGAATCGCTCCCGTATACCAGAAGGCAAATGTATTTATCCGATCCGAGCAGAAAATACTCCGGAGTGACTTAGAAAGTGATGAGAAGCGCGCGAGAATCTCGTAGAATCGATCTGGACCGTGGCTCCAACGATAACAATGTGCAGCCTGGGGTCCACACAATTCTGGTGAAGACGTCACGTAAAAAGAGTCGACCAGCGGTGTGTTGCCTATCAACATTCCGCCAGGGGGACCTTGGCATGGAATCAAGGAACGTTTTTGCTGTGAGACATTGTAGTGCACGACGGGGCCCCTTGCGAGCCCTTCATTCATGGAACCCCCGCAACTTGTCAGGTCGGCTTATACACGAGGTCCTGTTGGCTAGAATCTAAGACAACGCAAGGTAGAAACGCTTTGATTCGACCAAGGTCGGAAAACTGAAAAAGGGAAAAAGAAAAAGAGATTGAGTTCACGTATGGTAGGGTGTGATCGGACACAAGCTATTGTCTATAGTACATTGAGCCTGCAATGAAACATAAAAAAGGTACCTGAATGGGCTCTCGATCTATGCGCTAGAAGCAGTGGCAGAGTCAGACAATTCATTTTTGCCCCGGCTTCTCGAAGACCACCTTGCCGTCCTTTGTCATAGTAGCAATACTTTGAGCTGTGCCCTTAATCTCATTGGTCAAGGCATCCACTGACCGTGATGGCCCGGGTCCGGCATTGACGGACTCCTCGGCAGCCTTTCTGTATTCATCTTCGGCTGTTGGTTGACGCTGTTCTCCAGTAGGCTTTGCCAGACCAATAGTCAACCCTCTGGGCGCGCTGGCAATTTCGTTAACTTCATGCGTGGTCAAGACCTCGTTGATACGAGGGCCACGGGTCTGTAGAAGGATGGTCGAAGGCCCATCGAATTGGAGGAACAACTACACAATCGCATTAGCACTGTATTTCCAGACCTTATGGAGGATATCATACCCGATCTCCCCAGATGGTCATTCGAGACCATGTACGGAGCCTGTGGACGATTCTCATTGTCGTCTTCCATGTGCTCGATTCCGACATGTCCTGGATGAATTTGGAGCCCTGGATGAAGTTCGGGAGGCTCTTGAGACCTGGAACCTGGAATCTCAAGGTCGTAGATTTGAAGCGGTAAGGACGTGGGGGGTTGGATGAAATGGTGTAGGCAACGACATTGCTAGATAATATGAGCACAGACCAAACCATCATGTCAAGACAACAAGCTTACCTTGGATGAACAACATACTGCTCTCCAGCCTTGAGCTCAACGGAATACAGCTGGCCATTGCCAACCAACGCCAACAATCCACGTCCTGTGACCTCAGAGCTACCCCAGTGGGCAAGGCTCTACGCAGGTTAGTCTATCCTTCGAGACAAGAGCCGGCCAAGGTCAAACGAACCAGGTTTGTGTTGATAGTCGGGCGAATTGAGAGTGAGCGACCGGTCCATGCCAGCAACGCCCGCCTCTGGGCCACCATCCAATCCACGGAGCCATTCAAGTGAACAACCGCAAAAGACGTATTCGGAGAGCGCACGGAGACCAAGGCTGTCACTGGACTTGCCGAAGACACCTACTCGGACGTCAATTAACATGCCAATCGCTCGGGTATTGGGGACGCAGCCGAACCTTCTGGTAGAGAAATGGCACGCCGACAACAGCCCTCCGGAAGGGTTCTAGAACGCTCAGGGTAGAAACCACCTGCATTGATACCAAAGCCGTTAGCCCATGGAGGCATACAGGGCGGGGTAGTGATCAACCACTCATCGCATACATTGTCTGCTTTCCCGCTCAGTCCAACCAAGGTGCCCCGTCGGGTATAGAGATTCTGCGAGGCGGAAAGCGAAACTGATAGGAGGGAGTATGGCGCGCCGATGACATCGAATCGTGCATCTATAATCGCAGCTTGTTAGCGAGAACCGCTCGGATCGAAAAGGGGTTGACTAGCATGGACGCCTACCGGCCGATTCAGCAGAGCTAGGGGTGCTGGAGATAGGCAGATTGTCGCCGTTGACCGTCGCTGGCTCCTCCGCAGGCGCAGCGCGAATCTGGACGCATCTGGTCTGCCATCCGCGGCGCAGCGATGCCCCTTGTCGCACCCGCGGCGGGAGGACTCGAGTCCAGGATAAAGTCCTCGCGGCGCTCCTCCAAGGTTGAGCCGATGCCATCATGGAGGGTTCTGCCGAGCGAAGTGCAGATGGGGAGAAGCTGAGTGGAATGCAATTGCTCGTCCTCCGCGGTAATTCTTCTCGTCGCCCGGATTCACGCTTCCCGATCGGGACAAGCGCTGTACTGCGGCTTGGCACTGCTGAGCTCGACGAGATGCACTGCGTCGTCCCCTCGTCTCTTCTCGTCAGCGAGGATCGAGTGGGTAAGATCACAGGATACACTTCGCAACCAGCCGGCTATGGTCGGATGGCGCAAAACGTGGTGCTGAACCCTCGATCTTATAGTGGTCTGGTGAGCAAGGCTGCTCTCTCTGATGTCATACCGATCTCACGGGGTAAGTACTATGTATCCTGGAATTATACCCTGGATAATAACATCTACTCATTACTGCACAGTTCTTAGGGGATTCAAAGTGATGTTTGTTAGACAATAGCAATTGATATAAGCAGGCTTGACACACATTGTTCGAAACAGAACCAACACCCTGCTCCACGGCCATAGATCACTTGCGCTCCTCTGGCTACCGACGATAGTACACTTCATACCCGCTCCGTCAATCACCTACAGCGACTGTGCAAGCAGGAATTGATGGATGTGCCTTACGGATCAGCTTGAAGCACATTGAATTGTTGGGTAAATGTGAAGGAAACAAAGGCAGTCGACGGAACCCGCCGCATGCGTATCGAGAGTAACGTAATTTACCGGGACGTGGAGGGACTCGAAATCGGCGATTGCGACAGAACTGTGTGTCCTGGTGCTATCGCTGCAGCTCCCACATCGATGCTGCTCTATATATAATGCCATCTCCTCGTTCAATTCTCTTTGATGAATTGATGATCATCCATCCGAGGCGTTTTGAACCAGTACCCACCTAGTCCACCGCGGTCCTCCATCCCACGCCCTCATACTTTATCCCCGCCGCCGACGTTTTCCTCCGAACCCGGCGGTCCCCATCGCGAGGCGGCAATTCGCGCAGAAGGCTCACCACCAACATGCTCCATTGGCTATAAAGACGGTCTCTACATACCACCGGTCACTGCGAAGAACATCTACCGGCCACAATGCTGCCCAGGGCGGCCCGCGCGCCTTGCTGGCGTGCCTCGGGACGCTTCATACACCACACTTCGGCCGTTCCGCGCCCAACGTCATGGGCGTCTGCTTCCTACGGGTTGCAACGCAGAATATTCTCAACCACCCGAAGTCCGCTGAGGAGTCCGACCCCTCAGAGCACCCCAGAAAAGTCGCACGCACCGAGTCCCAATGATCCGTCTACGACTCGACCGGGCGCCGCCAATGTCGCGCAGAGCCCCACGGGTACTCAGAATACCACGGCGACCCCGAAACGGGACCTGCTCAGCGAAGCTCCGGTGGCGACAAAAGCACAGAGGAAGGCAGACTGGGCGATAATGAAAGAAATGGCAAAGTACCTCTGGCCGAAGGTGAGGCAGCTTCGTGGCATTGTGGCGGTGTTGTAACATAGAGTGCTAATGGGGATCGGTGTAGGATGACTGGGGAACCAAGCTTCGTGTCGGAACTGCTCTGTCACTACTGATTGGTGGCAAGGTGAGTTGCACTGTGTCCTGGTCTTCCTACCAAGGTGCTCACCCTGCTTGATTAGATCTTGAACGTCGAAGTGCCCTTCTACTTCAAAAGCATCGTTGATTCTATGAACGTGGACTTTGCGACCTTTGGGGGAACTGCTTATACGGTGGCAGGATCTATGATCATTGCTTGTAAGGAAAACCCGTGTGCAGAGCGGAATTGGTGTCTAACGATGATCGCCAGACGGTGTCACTAGGATCGGGGCAACTGTTTTCCAAGAACTGCGGAATGCTGTATTTGCCAGTGTTGCTCAGAAGGCGATCCGCAAGGTCGCCCGAAATGTATTCGAGCACCTGCTACGGCTCGATCTCAACTTCCATCTCTCTCGGCAGACCGGTGGACTGACGCGAGCAATTGACCGTGGAACGAAAGGTATCAGCTTCCTACTGACTTCCATGGTCTTCCACGTGGTGCCTACTGCTCTCGAAATATCTCTTGTTTGCGGTATTCTAGTATGGCACGAACTTGTATACCCTGTGACTTGGACGTTACTGACTGAGGTAGACCTATCAATATGGCGTCCAATTTGCTGCAATCACCACTGCGACGATGGTCGCATACTCTGCTTTTACGATAACGACCACCGCCTGGAGAACCAAGTTCCGCAAACAGGCCAATGCCGCAGACAACCGTGGTGCCACGGTTGCCGTCGACTCCCTGATCAACTATGAGGCCGTCAAGTACTTCAACAACGAGAAGTTTGAAGTCGCACGTTACGACAAGGCTCTGAAAGCTTACGAAGACGCTTCCATCAAGGTTACGACGTCTCTGGCTTTCCTCAACTCTGGCCAGAACATGATCTTCTCGAGTGCACTGGCGGGGATGATGTACCTCGCAGCCAACGGGGTGGCCAGCGGTAGTTTGACTGTCGGTGACCTGGTCATGGTCAATCAGCTGGTCTTCCAACTCTCGGTACCGCTGAACTTCCTTGGTTCTGTGTACCGCGAGCTCCGTCAGTCTCTACTGGATATGGAAACCCTCTTCAACCTGCAAAAAGTCAATGTCAATATCACTGAGCGACCGGATGCCAAGCCCATTGAACTGAAGCAGGGCGGTGAGATCCGGTTTGAGAACGTTACCTTTGGCTACCACCCCGAACGACCCATCCTCAAGAACGCTAGCTTTACTATCCCTGCCGGCCAGAAGTTCGCTATCGTTGGACCCAGTGGTTGCGGCAAGTCGACGATTTTGAGATTGCTGTTCCGCTACTACGATGTTCAGGAGGGTCGAATCCTCATTGATGGTCAGGACGTGCGTGATGTAACCGTTGAGAGTCTTCGCAAAGCCATTGGTGTAGTGCCTCAGGATACCCCTCTGTTTAACGACACGATTGCACACAACATCCGCTACGGCAGGATTGATGCGACCGATGAAGAAGTCCACAAGGCGGCGCAGCGCGCACACATCCACGAGCTGATTGAGAAGCTGCCCGATGGCTACCAGACAGCCGTGGGCGAGAGGGGCATGATGATCTCTGGTGGTGAAAAGCAGCGACTGGCTATCTCCCGACTGATCTTGAAAGACCCAGAGCTCTTTTTCTTTGACGAAGCGGTAGGCTCAAGTACCCGGATGCTGTGCTCTAGATGACAAGTGGCTAACCAAATGGACATGCAGACCTCAGCTCTCGACACGTACACCGAACAAGCGCTGTTGCAGAACATCAATAGTATCTTAAAGGAGAAAAGACGCACGAGCGTCTTCGTGGCCCACCGACTGCGGACGATTTACGACTGTGATCAGATTCTCGTATTGAAGGAGGGGCACGTGGCTGAGAAGGGATCGCATCGCGACCTTCTGGAGCGGAATGGCATCTACGCCGAGCTGTGGAATGGTAAGAAATTCGCTAACATATTGTTGGGTTGAGTCCGCGAAAGCTAATGTGCGCCACAGCCCAAGAAATGTCACTCGCGCATGGTCTGGAATCTGAACGGGCGGCGGAGTTGGAGGAGGCCGAACAAGAGGCCTCAACTCAGGCCCCGGAGCGGCGGCCACGATAAGCAGCCGATGGGGGGCTTGGACGTTTATCTTGCTTTCTGTTCTTCGTCTCTTGGCGCTATAGACTCTCTATTTGGATTGGGCCAATGGTACGGAGTACAGTCTTACGTAAATTTCATTCTCCGGACTATCTACGGAGTACACAGTATCACTTGGTACTAAGTAGTAAACAGTAAACTGCGTGGGAGGAGGGCAGAGCGCTGGAGACACGCGATAATCAATCAAAATGAGTCGCAGGAGCAGCGAACCGGGCATTGGACCGGGAGACCGACTGGAGCCATGGAAGGCCATTTAGACGGAACCACCGGCAAATTCAAACTGGCCTTAGCGTCCCGGTCGGTTGTATCCTTCGAACCAGACGACGACACAATCTGGTACGGAGGGTCCCTTAAGAACCAAAGGGCGGTAAGACGCTGGATTCGGAATCGATAGATATCTCATGAGCCAGGACCGCGGTAGGCTGATGCTGAGGATGAGCCCTATAACTCCTGGATTGCCCACCCCGAGTCTAACGTTGATCAAGATAACCGTGCGTCAGGGGGGAATCGAAATCTCCGGCGGGAGTGGGGGATGAATATTCTGCTGGAGAGCCGAGCGAGAACATCTGGAAGACTGCAACTTGCAAGACCGATATTCATAGACCAATAGCGGGAGATCAAAGACAATAGCGCGTGTAGCCAAGGGAGTCATGAGGACTAAGTCGAAAGTCAGTTTGCCGTCTAGCGATTCTGCTGGCGTCCGTTCACCACGCTTTCCGACCGGACGGTTGTCTAGTCAGGGGTCTTTTGAGACTGAGCCCCGAGCAACATAGTCTGTGTCGCGGGTGACGGCCGTCTAGAATACTAATTTAGTGCGGTACCTGACGGTGGCCGGAGGGGCACCGCGACCTGGACCAAGTTGACCAACCACCGGGCGTGGACTGGGCCAGGAAGCCCCTCCCCCAACCCACGTTGCTCCGTCCACGTACCACCGCTTAGTCGCTGACTGGTCGCTACTTAGTGTTGCTGCTGCTGGTCGGTGCGGTTCCGGTTCCAAGCAGTCACTCGACTCGGTTCGATTCGATCGTTCCTGCCTTTCCCACTCCCTGTCGTTTGCCGGCCGTTCCTTCCAGTTCCAGGTCCAGTTCCAGTGCCTCCCACATTCGTTGCCTATCTATTCTTATCATCTCTCTCTCTCTCTCTCTCTCTTTCTCTCTCATTTGCTTTCTTTCCTTTGTCTCTTTCTGCTCTACTACTCATTATCCACTACTGGCATTCGCTGTTCTTTCTTTCCTTGACCGCCCCCATTTATTGGCCCGTAACCCTCGGTGGCTTGATTTCCTGCATAGCTTGCATTCTTCTCCACAAGCCTCGCTCTTTATCCCACTCTGTCGGCCACCAGCCATCCTACTTGGGCACTACCAGCGCCTTATTTATCATTGACTTCTTGACTATTTCTTAGTCCCGGAGCACTATCTTTCTTTGTGTGAAGTCTCTCCCACCATCCGCCACAACGTCCACTAGCCCACCGTGTGCTCTCAATCGGGTCTTTATTCCCCCCCCTCGGATCTAATTCCCTCCTTTTTATCCTCGCCCACCGTCTGTCCCCTCTCGTGTCTGCAGTGTTACATTCCCTCTGCCGAACCGTTATCACATCAATCAGCTTTCGTGCACCCATACCAGAATACACACAACACACTGCGCCATCGCACTTCCCCAACGCTCGACAAGGACCATCTCCCTATTCTTCACACTTCCGGGTATCTCTGGGTCGATTCTATTCCGCTGCAATTGTTACACGTGAGGCACAAGGTTATCTCCAGGCGCCATATACACAATGGGTTTCATCGAGAAGTTGCAAGCCAGTATGTCTTCCTGAGCCCCTGGCCAATCCTACCACCCCATCATCCCATCTTCCATCTTCGCATTGATGGTACCTGTAAGTACTTCGAGTGCTAATCAAAGGTCCTCCGCAGAAATTGAGCTCTACCGGCTAGAGCAGCGTTATGCGCGTCGCAAACACCGCAGCACATTTTCAGGGGTCACCTACGTTGATGGAGAATACGTCTACGTCAACGGATCGAGCTCCCCCTCAGGGACCGTCTCCAAGCACTCGACAGGCAGCTACTGGAAGGCCCCTACATGGGGCTCATCCGGCGACTCGCGCTGGCGTTGACACACTTTCGCGATTCTTTTAAGCGCTGTTCTTTCCGTTTTGCTCGACCATTGATCCTCCACATTATGTCCATGTCGAGGATGCGACGACCTGTCCTTGTTGGTTTCATTCATGGGTGAAGAAAGTGAACGCAAAAAGTTCATGTCATCTTTCCCTACCTCAATTCTTCGGCCCTCCTTATCGGACGCGGGATTCGGCCGCGATATCTTGAAAATAGTGTTGCATACCTGATCAACCGTTTTGGGTTAGCTCTCGACTGGTTGTCTCATCCAACCACGACCTGCCATTCCATCGACACGCGTTTCGAGCCACTGGTCCCATGGCCAGCTGGAGCTTTCTTCATACGGCTATTTTCGGAGTCATTTGGTACCATTTTGCTGACGCGATTTATGCATGACTGCTTCTTTTGGCTGCTGGCATTTTTTCCCTGCAATTGGTCTTGCTACATCTGCTCTGTTCTTGGAGTTTGCAAGCTACAGACTTTTGTATATTGTCACTTCTGTGCCCTTTCACATACCCCTCAAGCCCATTAGCGAGTCGTTCTGTGACTTGTTGGTGTACCACGTCTTCACACCCCCTTTTTTGCCGCTTCAAGGCCCATGCGCCTTCCTGTACATAGGCTATTTCCATTCCAATCAAGAGATATGACGATCACCCGGCGCGGTCCCCACTACTCTACATGCTCGCATACCAGCGTGCTCTGATGTCATGGTCCTATTTTCAAGCCCTGTCAACAAGCAACCCTCAAGTTTTGACAAACGCCTTGCATCCGTCGCTCAGCTAAATCATCATTCCCAAAGGGACGCCGGCAAAGATGCCACCTTCAATACCACAATTTCAGTATAAATAAAATATATAGGCATCCAGGCAGGCATTAGGATCACCTGACCTCCGTATGTACCTACCATTGATTCATAGTTTAATGATCACCCCCTATTCTACCCCATCCCATCCCGCCCTACTCAATCCATTCCATTCACCTTTTCGACTTCCGACCCCCAATCCCTAAGCGTCCCAAATTCGACAGACTAGTTTTATGTCTATGCGCGCCCCCTAGAATCGACGTCCCAGATTTCGGCGTCCCCGCATCTGCTCCACCGCCACGGCCCTCCGTCGCGCTGTTATTGCCTCCCCCGGCGCCGGCGATCCCGCGAGGCGTGTCCGGGAGCGCGGAGGCTCGTTCCTTGGTATTGCGGGACGGGTCCCCTGTGCTGGATAGCGAGGGGCCGGTGGTTGCGTCTGGGTCGAGGGGACGTTGGGAGGCGCGTTGAGCGCGACGGGCTTTCTCTTGGACGGATTTGAATTTGTCGAGGAGTTCGACCCAGCGGATGGTGTTTTCGTCGCGTTTGAGGCGGCTGCCGGTTGCGCGGTCGTAGGTGGAGGTGGATGAGGAGGTGGAGGTGGAAGTTGAGGATATGGTGGTTCTGGGTGGGGTGGGTTAGTTGGTTGTGTGATTGGAGAATGATGAAGGGGGGGGGGGGGGGG